TATGGTAAAATATTAAATCAATGTTTCATGTTTATTGATTTTATTACTGGTCAGTATTGTAAAGCTTCATCTTGTGACAGCATGAATGAGTGTTTTATTACTTTTTCAGTGAGGTACAATTGCTTTGTTTTCACATGTTGGCCGTGCAGTACCGCACACAGCTGAGGTGAACTCAGGTGAAAGTGACAAAACATTAACTAACATCGTTAGTTAATGTCTTAACTAACATGTAAACTAACAGCTGGTGGCAGTGTAATATGCCATATGTGTAGCAATGTGCCAGTAGGAGAGGAATAGAAGAAGACTTCACAGTGATGCAGATCTAAAACATGAAACATTTGAAACAAGTTTAAAAGGAAACAACATAGATGAGATACAACCTGCAGATATAGATGTAAAATTCTGAGATGAAAATTGCGTAGTTGGAGTAATGTCATTTCTTTGCAACCTGCTGCCTGCCTAATGGACTATTGTAGTAGTGTCACCACATGCTGGATCTTGGCTGTTATTATTAAATTACAGCCAAGTTTGAAAATATTGTAATTAATATTTGAGACAGATGAAGAATAATGCATTCTTAAAGTCTTTTGGGTGAGTATTACTTTTAATAGAAAAATGTGGATAAGTTATCTGTCTTGTTTTACTTTAGAACTGGAGTATGATGGCTTCTGCCAGAATCCCTTCTTTGAATGCCTTGTTGCAGAAGTATCCGAGGAGCATAAATCTAAAGAAGGTACAGTGTGGATCAAACCCTTTCTGATTGGAGTTCTCCCGCTTAGCCAACACTGAATCTGCTTTCATCTTATGAAAGTCACTTTCGGCTTTTTCCCGTGTAGGGGTCGCCACAGTGAATCGTCACACTGATGACACACGTGTTGACATTTGGCACATGTTTTACACCGGATGTCCTTCCTGACACAACCCTGATTCGAACCTGGGGTGCAGCGTCAAGAGCGCTGCGCCTTAACCACTAGCCTACCAGAGACGGCTTATATAGATAATAAAAAATGTCTGTGCCTTCACTCTTTAGATATGCCCATTTCAAATCCAACAAATCATAATGACTACACAAGTGCAACCTCACAAACCAGGTGTAGTTCATCTATACCTGGCATAAGAGGTGTTACAAAGAGGTGCTTCACCACAAACTTGAAATTAAGTTATCTTTTATTCAAGACCCAAGATCAAATATTCCCCTATCTATGTAGTGATTTATTATTTTTCTGATATTCTTCCTCATTGTCTTTTGATGGCTTGTGTCTTTGGTCAATTTAGGATTCACAACTGTTGGATACGCCCTTTACTTTTACACTTACAGTACATGGAAGGGACGATCACTGTATTTGGAGGATCTGTATGTAATGCCAGAATTTCGAGGTAAAATATGTTGTTAACAAAGCTATGATATAAAATTTGTTTTACTTGAAATTAGGCACTGTCTGAATTGCATTATCCTCATCAGTTTTGTGGAGAAGTAAAAATACTTTTAAACCATTTTTTTTTTAATGGTTTCTTTTACAGGAAATGGCATTGGCAGTGGTTTACTGAGCAAGGTTGCTGAGGTAAGAATGGTTTTATCATTTAAGAATCATTTTCTAGAAATATTTGGATTTTAATGTAGTTGTGGCTTAATTGTCCTTGAGAGTCTTGTGTAACAAAGATGCAGCCTGATTAACTGGAGGACCTTTTTGTTTGCTCAGGTAGGCAAAAAGAAGAAGTGTGTGCGGTTGCAGTTGTCTGTGTTGAACTGGAATACTCCAGCTCGAGACTTCTATGCTGCTAAAGGAGCTCAGGACCTTACTGTTAATGAAGGCTGGCACTCAGTTCGTTTTGATGGACAAAACCTGGACAATTTAGCAAATGAAGCACCTAAAGATGTTTAGGTTTCCATGGAAAATATGTGCATATAGTGCATCTAGAAAGTATTCACAGCACTTACCTTTTTCCACATTTTGTTAGGTTACAGCTTTATTCAAAAATGGATAAAATTCATTATTGTTCTCAAAATTCTACAAACAATACCCCATAATGACAATGTGAAAAAAGTTAGTTTGAAATTTTTGCAAATGTATTAAAAAAAAAACATAAAAATCATATACATAAGTATTCACAGCCTTTGCTCAATACTTTTTTAAAGCACCTAAAATATGTACTTGCTTTTATTTTGTATTTTTTTGGCTCTCTACTATAAACCTTCACCTTTTAAGTACAAAACAGCCAAAATAAGCTTCACGGTACTGGTTTCTCCTGGTTTAACAACAACATGTCTTAATTCAAAGAAAGACATATTTACTAGGATCTCCATATGGTATGATTTATAAATATGTCTAAGTACTCTAATTTCGTTAAATTACCTTTCACCTTTCTTCATTTTGCAGGCATTGTTGCAAATTCTTAATCTCAATCTTTGTCCATGTATAAAGAAATAAAAATTTGCCTTCATTTGGAAATTAAACACAGTCCAGGCCTGAGATGTTTTGTGATGCTGGCCAGTTTCAGCAGCAGAATGTGATCTGACCTGAGTAAATCCAACCCCAGATGTGATACCACATTTCTCCTTATTTAGTTAACTTTTTTCACTTAATAATTTTGTATGATCTGTACATTGATGCCTAAGACAACCTATATGAGGTTGTATAAAAAGTAGTAAGTCAGTGGCAACTACACTATCTGTTTGGTCTTAGAAGATGCCAGTCTCTTGAAGCTGGTCCATCTTTGATGACTTCCATTTAATGTGAAAAAGTCCATGATATGTTTAAGAGCTCTCTGAGAAATCAGAGTGACCAGCCATAATCTCTGATAAATATTGTCATGATTTAGTGGAAGCTGTCACAAAAAAAACATTAAAAATGTACAGCATACTCAAATTCACACAAGGAAAGTATGAGATTACATATGAAATGTACATGTGGCAATAAAAGATTCAAATGTACAAAACCTACAATGTTTACATTTGTATCAGCTTTGTCATTCAAGTGTTTTGGTGACGTGGTGAGAATGAAAATCACATTGGGTGAAACCCCTGGTGCACTGCGAATATACAGCGTACTGGTCTTGTATACAATTGCAATGCACCATGTATTACTGGTTACAGCTGTAGGTGAAAATGACAAATTTCCATCATGAATTTTGTGCAAAGGTTACAGAATGAGATGTGCTCACTGTGGATATAGTTATAGCTGTACAAGCTATCTAATTTTCTACAGAGGAGAGATGTTGAAGCTCTTAACCTTAGCAGAGTAACAGGTTGTCTCTTGTGAAAGGGGTGTCCCTCTCAGATGACCAGAAAACCTGCAGCAAGTTTGAAGATACGTGGATACAACGAATGTTTGCAACACAGTTCATTATAAAACAGTTTCTGAGGATCAGATATTTCTGATGGCCATGTCACATTTTTCTTGGTAAACCTGTAGCAAGTTTGTAAAACACATGTTGAAAGAGTGAAACAGTTTTTACAGTATATAAACATTACAAATTGATATACAGTACCTCAGGTGTGTTTCACTAAAAGGTATAGATCAGGTAAAGCCAATAAATCCCCAAATCAAGTCAAGGTTTCTGCTTTTAAACTACTGTACAGTGATTATAAGTCTTTATGGTTTTCCCATTGTAAATGCTGCCCTGTCATCATGCATTTAGCATAATAAATAGTGATGTTTTCCTCTTACTACAGTCGGCTTAGTTTGCTTTCCATCTTATACAATAACCTCTCAGACATACACATTTCTTTCATAGTTGCTTGGCATAGACCGAGACATTGCCACAGATGACAGCACAGGTCGTCTGGAGGACTGTTGGTATATTCTAAATACACAAGCAATGTTTCAGTTACAGAAAATGCACCAATTGTGTTGTACTCAGTGAATTAATATCAAACGTTTCAGTGACACATACTCACATTTTTTCATTGGGCGTTTTGACTTTGCAAGCACACATCAGGCATGTTCCTCCAAAAATGGCAAGTGTGGCTGAAGACCAGCCAATATACAGGGCCTCTCCGATCTCATACCTGTGATACAAGAACATAAAAGAATTGTGCAAGTGTGTGGTGTTATTTAATCTATGGTAAACATCTTTTTGTGCTATTCAACTGTTCTTGATGATTGTATGCACTTACTTAATTCCTGGATAAAACTGGTCAAAGAACTGCTGTGTGATATTGTTTGCATACCAAGATACAGCAATCAGGGTGCACATGCCTACAAAAAACAAAACATTTCAAGTCAAGTCAAGTCAAGAATCTTTATTGTCATTATGCATAGCACAACAAAATTTCTTCCGGCAGCTCTTAGCTTAAAAGACACATTATTTACATAAATAACATAAAAATTGTACTAGTCAATATAAAAATATGAACAGATGAAAATATATGGGACCTAATCAGGTCAACAGCATATTAGCAGCAGAAGAATATAGTCGCATTCTAAAGTGCAGCTCAGCAGGGCAGCATCATTACAGAATTGCACATAGCCCAGAACAGCTGATGTATAAGGGTGAATGGCCGAATAATGTGAAAGCACTTTGAGTGTGCTGTAAAAGCATAGAAAGGCGCTATAAAAGTATAAGACCATTAATCTTTAGCACAGCTGAGGTCTTAGCCTCAGACTCTGAGGAGTCTGACTGACCATTCAATGCAAACATTGTTTGCATTGAATGGTCAACATGTTTTATGAGGCCAAATGATATGAAGCAGAATTGTCTGCTAGAGACTGCATAAATCAGACTGACTACTTATAACCACAGGTTATCTTAATAGAGCTAGTAAATACCATAAATATAGTATTACAATTTAAAAGCTTCTCAAAATAAATAACAGTAAAAAGTAAGAGCAATTTTCCTGTTACTTCTTTGCATTTTACATAATGTGACCTAACAACCCAGACCTTTGTGCATTAGTGGGTCTGTTCACGGACAACACCGCAGTGATAGGTC